GGGGGGAACGTAGCATTTCAGCTAGAGGGGCGTGGATTTGCAGGACGTAACGGTGCACGTTAGATTGAGTGAGTGCAGTTCATTGAGCTACTTTATATGAGAACCTGCGTGCACCTTTGTGAGACTGCAGAACAAAAATTAATTATTTTTATTATATTTGGGGAAAAAAGAAGTTTGACTGAGCGACGGTATGGCCTAGTGTTATTTCTGCTGCTTGGAAAATTTGGCAAACTAGCTGAATAATACACACAAACAATATGAAGCAGTTTATTAGATGTTTGTCAAGTATGAAGACAAACAATCAACAAAATATCAAGTCATGTTTTCCTATAATTTGTATATTTTCTTTGTATTTATCCTACCTATGTACATGATAGTCTTCTTTGTCAGCCTGTTTGGTTGGAAGATACTAAGTCGATTTGTGTTGTTTGACAAACTTCAGTCCGTCTACATGTCGATATGTTTTAGCATTATTTAGTTATGAGTGTCATTTTGAGAATTTATCAGCCGTCGGGTAGAAGTCGCGGTTGCAGCCGCTTCTACTTCCAAACATCTTGTGTATCTTCATGACAGTTGTTTTTAAAAGCATCTCTTAAGCGTGTGGTCTCCTGTAGAAAACGGCAAAGGTTAGATTCATAAATAACTTTTTAGATTACGGTTTTGCTCGTTTATCCACAAAGGGACGAGACGACCCAACGCGAGGCGACTCTGTCCCCCGAGTGAAATACATAGTTTTTGGTCTCAAGGGAAACCTAGTTTCACTGTAACATGTCGTCCTGATTGAACCTTTTAAAAGTAATGCATTAAAACAAAATAGACAAGAATCCTCCACATTGAAGTTACTCTTTATCGTTTGTCAGGCCAGCGTAACATCTGGATCTACGACCAGCAGCCGTCCTATGGGCGGCCCGGCAACCTCCACAATCAGCCAATCGGTGCTGCTGAGTGGGACGGCGGGGGGGCAGGGACAAATGTACCTGAGGGTGAGTCATGGATCACTTTTAACTGTATTTAGCATGACAGGATGTAGCAGCTTCATTAAGCGAGATTTATGATGAATCACTTTGTAGCAGTTTTGTGTCCTCTGTAGATGCAGCCTCTGTTACCGTTAGCTGTTAGCTCAGTTACTTAGCTTGACACCAGTTGTCCACCAGTGTCTTACTTCCTGTGTGTCTGATGGGACGTCCCGTCGTCCTGCAGGTCAACCGCTCTCTGAGGGCCCCCATCTCCTCGCAGCTCATCTTCATGCCCGGCAACACGGCAGCTGCTGCCGTCGCAACCGTCACCCAGCAGCCACAGGCTCTGCAACAGAAACAGGAAGTGACGCCAACTTCCTCCTCCAGCGGCCAATCAGATAACGACCAGGTTCGTGGAAATATTGTGGTAATGATATGAGGAGAACTTTCTGTTTTCTCTCACTGATTCTTATCCCTTTTATATTTGCTCTTTCCCTCCAGGCACAGAATCTAGCCATGCGAGGTGTGTCCAGTCTCAAAGGTGTTAAGACTGAAGTCCCAGAGAGGAGTGACTCAGGTAGGTTGGTGTTTGTTCACCATATCAGGTCATAATGTCAATGTTGTGTTCAGTTGATGCAGGTTTCTTTCTGTCTCCTCAGCTGCCTACTCCTTAGTCCCGCCCTCACATCAATCAAACTCCCAGTTCCCCCTTAAGCCAAACCAGCCACAACACCAGCCGCCCCACATCAAAATCCCCACGTACCCTCAGCCCACCAACCTCAAAGCCCACCCTTCCTCCTCCTCCTCCACCTCCTCCATCCCTCTCTCCCAGCTCCTGCTTCACGGAACCCGGACCCTCACCACGGGAACCACAGCTCCCACAGCGGCGCACACTCTGGTCCTGACGTCCAGCGCGGGATCCCAGGCCCACGGGTATCCCATCAAACCGGCAGTGAACGCTCAGACGCTGGTGGTGCAGCCCCTGCAGAAGACGTCGCTCGGCGCCGAGAAATCAGGCCACGGCAACGGACCCGTCCCCATCCAACCCAAAACTCTGCAGGGGCTCCGCCTGCCGCTCCAGCTGCCCTCTAGGAACCCGCCTCCCATCCTGCCCGCCCCGCCGCCCGTCAGCAGCTCCGCTCAGCCGCCTCCGCCACCGCACATCCCGGTCCAGATCGTGGGCGCGAGGCAGAGCACGCTGGGAAACACCCAGGCTCTGGCTCTGGCCCGCGGCAGCTGTTGCCATGACGGAGTCGCCGCCGCCGTCCTCGGCAGCTCGTCCGGCCTGCTCACCATGGTGGCGTCCATCGCTTCCAGGGAGGGCGGGGTCGTGGGCCGAGGAGCGGGGCTAAAGACGCTTCAGTCGCCACAGGAGGCCCCCCCGTTGGCTCAGGTCTCTCAGGTGCATCCGCAGGCCAATCAAAGCTCCGGACCGAGTCGCAACGGACCCCTGGGTTCGATCCCGGCCTCCACCCAGGCCCCCGCGGTGTCCTCCCCTCCCTCCTCGATGTCTCGCGCCTCCCTCTCCCTCCCCCTGGTGACGGAGGAGCAGAGAGGAGCATCGGCTGCTCTGACCACCAACGGAGACTTATCGAGAAGTCAGACAGCACAGGTCAGCAGATTACTGTCAATAAGGCACGACAGCGTAGACTGTGTGTTGTTAGTGGGATTTAAATGCGTAAATTAAAGTAACTCCACCGTTGATATTTTGCCTTCGTTGCTTCTGACTTGTGTACGTATCATTTTTATAAATTTGACCATCTCTTTTTACTGCTGTTCTTTTCTCTTTTTATCTGTTTAAACGGTTTCTTTATTGTTGTTTTTTAGGTAAAGCAGATGACGGGCTCACTAAAGAGAAAGTCCGACTCCACTTCAGCCAACGACGAGGACGGCCCCTCCCCTCCACGGCTCCATCCAGTCAGAGATCACGCTTCAGCACTGCCGACCAATCCCAGCGAAGCCGGTAACAACACAGAAAAGTGTAAATCTCCAAAATTATAAACGTGAATCTAACGAAATATTTACTCACTCTACTGCTCCTCTATTTTCTCCCCCTTCCACCTGCCAGGCTCTGGTGCTCCTCCTCCCGTCTCCTCCTCTCCCTCCCCCGTGCTGGCAGTGTCCCGTGGGGTCTGCCAGGGGGAGAGAGCTCCTCCCCCTCAAGCTGTGGTGAAACCCAACGTCCTAACGCACCTCATAGAGGGCTTCGTCATCCAGGAGGGGGCAGAGCCTTTCCCTGTGAGTGCCTGGGATTTGTAGTTTCTAATGCTCCTTTCAAGAAGGACTGCAACTAGCGATTATTTTCATTATCGATTAATCTAGTCTAGTAATCTTTAAGAGTGAATAATGTCCATGGTGATGTCTTTCAATGTCTTGTTTCAGTTCAAACCCTAAAGATGTTCAGTTTAATGTGCTATAAAACAGGAAATCTCTATATTTCAGAGGCTGAAAACTGATTTTATCATCTGTCATTTATGCATGAAAAAGTACTTAAACGATTAATCGTTTGTCAAAATAGTTGCCACACTCATGCGTGACTCCGGTGTGCTGCTCACCAAGCTCCTCTCTTATTGCTCGGTGTTGTTTGATTGACAGGTGTGTGGTTCAGTAAAGGACTCGACTGGAGAGGATTTAACCAACGACAGTCCAGACACGAACCGATCGGAGACGGTTACAACAGCGACAGGTAACGAACAAACCGCTCTGTTCACAATCATTCAAATACACTGACATTTTATTTTTAGCATCACAGGACTAAAATATTGAAAACAGTTTTGTAGTTTAAAGATACGGACATACATTGTAGGTCTTAAGTTGGTATTCACCTGGGGAAGCTTCACGGTGATATCTATTAGTTCAACTGTTCACCTGTACTGTCTCCTCGTAACCTTTCAAAATAAAATGCGGAGGACAGGATTTTACAGTGTGTGCAACGAAATGACCCTCGTTTGTCCGAGCTGGGTCACGGGAACGCACAAAGGTTTTAAATTACAACCTTCACGCTCTGAGTTCCCACCTCTGACTTTGACTTGAAGGCAGCACAGAAAACCACAATGACACTCTTAAACCCTAAAGCTATTTAAATGCAGTTCTGCGTGTTTCTCTGTTTTCTGATGCAACCAGTGTTACATATTTACTTACATAAATGAAATGTTTGGAGATGATATATTTACCATCTGCTCTGTTTTTTTGTTCCAGTGCTGAAGTGTGAATACTGTAAAAACTTTGCTCCCGCAAGCCAGTTCAGAGGCACCAAAAGGTTCTGCTCCATGTCTTGTGCCAAGAGGTACTTCAACATGCATGAATTATAATCTATGCAGTGGAAGCCATCTTAGAAAACAACGGATGCACGGTGCTGCTGAGAGCTGCAGCCACCGGAGCCTCGCCTCATTTAAAAAAAGATAAAACACTTCTGACAAGCTGAGGATTAAGAAAAGCGTTTCTTTCTCAGGTGGCTACAGCTGCATGTCACACAGCATGTATGTTCTCTGTTCTCATGTTTTATTCCTATGTTCGGATTCTGCAAATTCTTTTCTCTACAAACAAAAAGGCACGTCAAACTGTGTCTGTTTTTTAAATTACAGTGCAGTCCCGTTCATTTACTTTCCATATTAACATGTATGGATTGTCGTGTATGTATCGCTGTATAAACAATGCGCTGCTGGCATTGTTTTGAACAGATTGCTGTCGGCGTATTATTTTACATTCTCTGCTTCTGCTTTGCATTTGTCCCTTTGTCCACTACACGAGTATAGATGAAATACCGCGTATGGATCAAAGGAGATAAAAACCTGTATGTGTTGCTCGTCTTGGCTTCAGTACCGTATATGTCACTCTTTGTCTACGATACAGTATGTATTGGTTCCCCAGGTACAACGTCAGCTTCAGGCAGCACTTCTGCATGCGGCACGGTCAAGATCAGGGTCAGCTCTCCAACTCGGACGAGGAGGGAGGACTCGCCAGGCGGAGGGTCCCCCGCAGGACCAGCTCCGAAATAGCCAGTGCCAAGATAGCAGGGAGACCCATACCTGTCAAGGTGAGAAGGAACCATTAACAGTACATTCATTATTTAGTTTTTAACTTATTTAATAACTACACGCTTTTGGTCACTATTTTACCGCCTCGCTCACGAGGGTTCCTCCGCCTCTCCCCCCACACAGTGCCGTTCAGAGTCCAGCCATTCAGACGAGGAGTCCAGTGGAGAGGAGGACGAAGACGACCCCGTGTCCCTGTCGTCCGCCTCCTCCGCCTCCTGCCGCCCGCCGCCTCCTCCGCTCCCGACGGAGAGCTCTGTGCCCAGCTGCCTGTCTGCTGGCCCCGCCCAGTGGAGCGTGGAGGAAGTGTCGCAGTTCATTTCCTCGCTACAAGGTTGGAGGATTTTCAGTTAAATACTCATTGCATCTGTTTTCTTTTTGTGTTGTCACCCTCTTCATTGCTTTTTTTTCTTCCCCTTCTCTTTTGTTTTTCTATTTCGTCCCCCGTTTGTTTCTTCCTCCTCCTCTTCGCAGGCTGTGAGGAGCTCGCCTCCCAGTTCCTGTCGCAGGAGATTGACGGACAGGCCCTGCTGCTGCTGAAGGAGGAGCATCTAATGTCCACCATGAACATGAAGCTAGGTCCCGCCCTCAAGATCTGCGCCCACATTAACACCCTGAGAGACTGAGGCCAGGTTGTTCGCGTAAATCCACCACGTTCAAAGTCGAGCCCCGGGCATTTACCCTGAAACTCCTGATCCGCACACCAGTTGGGATGTGAAACTGGTTCCAGGGCTGTCGCAGTCCTGCAGGTGGATGTTTGAGGTACAGTTCATTTTCAAAACAAAGCCACGGCTCTTTAGCTCTAAGTCGGGCTGCAGCTCTTGAATCTGTCGTTGATTTGTCCACTCAGCAGCACATTTTCAAAGGCCATACTTGCACAGAGATATTGTTAATCTTTCATGTCTGTGAGTTGCAGAAATGCAACAGATTACTCTATTTTGGTGAAGATTCATGTTCCCTAAAATGCTGTTTCTACACAAAACCAGTACTTGCAGTCATAAATAGTTCATACCAAGTGGTTTCATTTTGCTGTTCAGCTGCACCGTTCCACTCTTATAGCTGCATTGTGAAACGCAGAAATGAAGGTTTTGAATGTATTTTCGTTAAGTTGGATTCTTTGCACTTGCACAAGATTCCCCCGTTCTCTACAAGTAGGGCTGCCCTTTACAGACTGACCTCGGCTGTGCTCATCTTATTTCATTTATTTTTGTTGCATTTAACTGCTATTCATTCATTCTTTCATATTGTACAGGTGAAGTGTTTTTGACAGATTTGCCCACTTCTTTGTCGTCAAAACAAAGTCAGGATTTGTTTTTCTTGTCTTTGAGAACGACGTTGGTTCTCATCTCGTGGCGTTTCCCTGAAAGGTGTTTCTGATTACAACTCTTCTTCTTGTTTAAGCCACAGTCAGCATGGCATGAGGACAGAAACGCAGTCAAGGAATACGCATCGTTTAGTTTAAATCTACCCAGAAGCTGTGGATCAGTCATTATCAAAGATGGCCGTTGATTTTGTTTTCAAGAACGTTTATAACTTTTGTTATTCATGTAAAAACTAGTACTTTACAAAAGTTATCATCATTGTGTAAGAATAGGCCTCATCATTTTCTATTTTATTTAGTATGCGGTCTATTCTTCAGTTTACAGGGTACAGTTAGAGAACAGGGTCCAGATGAAACCCGAGTCCCTTGAGTTTCACAGAGCATTTCTCATTTCAAGTGAGGCAAAGATGCTGCTGTTGCATGTAGTTTTCTCACATCTTTCTTGTTTTTTACATACGGAGCACATCAACACTTCCAAAACTGTGTTTTTCGCTCAGTATCTCTTTTTAAGTTTTTTAACAGGTCTAATTCTTAAATCTACTCTTAAAACTGTAATCTGTGACTATTTTGTTCTGTCGGGCAATTTCAAGATTGTTGCTTTTTTTCCAAACCAGCTGCTCCTGATTTATTTAAGTGTGTGTGTGAGTGAGTGAGTGAGTGAGTGAAGGGTAACGTCATGGGCTTGATTTTGTGAAGTGACATTTTTTTAAACAACGTTTAAAAGGAAACGCTGGAACAGATGAAGAATGTAAGCTGTTCATTTGAAGTATTGACATTCATGAACAAAGCCAGAAGTTTCATAAAGAAAAGCAGCTTGTAGCCTCACGTGGACCTACGCTTAGGATGGATGAAGGAAAACACAAATCATACCTGATGAATGAGTGAGTGTGAATGAGGGAAAACTTAAGCTAAACTGTAATAAGTGTAAAATTTGCCTTTATATTTAAATGCACATTTAGTTGCCTTGTTTAAGCGTGTTACTGTAGGAGTTTTCTCATGTTCTCTCTGTGACCCGTGTGGCCTTTCTCACTAGTCTCAATAGGTTTAGATGAGGATTGTCTGTTTTTTTTAACTGCTTTTCATATCATACCTTGTTTTATATTAGTGCTTACTTTTCTACGATTGTTAATTCAAGCAAATGACATCTGTTGCCT